GGAAGCAATCTAACAGGGAATGATACCCGGGGGCCCGGTAACGGTAACGGTAACGGTCACGGTAACGGTCACGGTAACGGTCACGGTAACGGTCACGGTCACGTTGGTTAGAAGTATAGTGTCCCCCGGATCGATGGGTGGGGGGGAGTATTGGGAGCCAGGTGGGGAGGGGGAGGGGGTATTGAAAATGAAATTGAAATTGCTGCTTAGATAAAGTATGTGCATGGTTTTTTTTTTACGTTTTTTTTTTATCTTTTTTCTTTTTTTTTTATCCAATGGTATGCATATGCGGGTACATTGTAGCGGTGACTGACTGTTATCAGGTTGCGTTACTGTGACTGCGCTTGTTGGGGACTTGTTTGCGAGGAGGTACGTAGTAGTAGTACTAGGATTTCCGGAGAATAAATAACTTACCGTTGCGCTTATCGTTCTCGTTGCGACTCTGCAGTTGTTGGAGATTGGTACCTGCGCAATACATGATATCTGATGATGCTTGTCATCTCCGCACAATAAACATAAGTGAGTGAGTGAGTGAGTGAGTGAGTGAGTGAGTGAGTGAGTGAGTGATCCGTTACGACAGACTGACTTATTTTGGTTTGCGCTCTGCCTGAGGAGAGGAGGATGCAGGTCGAGTGGTACCGGTACGTCCACACGATATACTCCGTACTTAGTAGTATTATTGTTCACAACCTCCTCCATCCACTAGTCCCCTCCCTTAATTACGTACTATTATGTAAAAGAGGGAGAGAGGGACTCCAAGTAGTAGTACTATACTACTGCACCGGTAGTTGTACTCGCAGCAGCGCAACCAAGTCCAGTTTCCAACCCCCCGGAACGAAACAGAACCAACCCCCTGAGCCCTGAGGGTGGTGCAGACAAGAGGGCGCCGTAATCTCGAGTACACCGCCCTTCCCTCTCCAAAATAATAATAAGAATAATAATAATCATAATGAGTCCTGGTTTTGAAAAGCCAATGTCTGTCACTTCCTCGGCAGCGTCCCGAGTCTCGATTATCCTTTTTCCTGGTCCCCCAGCATCCACGCACCGGGTGTCGTTCCCCGCCCGACCCGACAACCCGTTCGTTCGTTCGTTCACCCGACGGTCGGTCCAGCGCGGTGGGTTGAAGTACTACCACGTTGTACCGGTACTACTAGATGAACATGCGAAGCACGGAGTAGTAACCAAATACTACTACTACGTACCGGTAGCACAACTACTCCCAAGTGGGTTCCGGCTCGTGCCAGCTTGACTGACTACCTTACGCTAGCATCTGCTTAAGGGTGATCGATTGAGTCTCCAGCCTGAGCCATAAGGACGGCTGGCGGTGGTTGGTGCGTGCGTGGTGCGAGGTTTAGACGGCCAGGACTCGGGGCTGTGGCTCAACGAGTTAACTCGTACTACCTTACCACCTTCACGGTTCTGGGCAGGTGAGCCACCGGTCCTCCTCTAGGGAATTTGATGTTTCTACTACCTACTAGCTGGTTGGTGATTGCTCATCTGGCTCGGGTACGGGAGGAGATGGATGGATGGGTGTGCATTTGGTTGCACCAGCAAAAAAATATATATATAAAAAAATGGATGTATAATATTGGCTTGTCGAAATCGAAATCGCAATTTTTATTTATCTTTTCACGCTGGTCTCTGGGTTGGATGTGATTTTCGGGTTATTCTCTCTCTCTCTCTCTACTCCTCCCTGCCTACCTTCCTTCCTTCCAGCTCTCACATGTCGCTGTCGCTGTCGCTCTCACAGGAGGCTCACGAACGCTGCCACCAATCCAACCACCTCTGATACCACCTCGCCTCCCGCTCCTCGCTCGAGGAATCGCTCGATTCCGGATCCACCGGCTCCGGATCCCCAGCAATCCCCTCCCAGCTCATCCAATCCACGGGCTGGGGCTGCGGCTGAGATGCCAAGAGCTCCGCCCTCGTCTCCCAGCACCGCGCCCAGAAATCCAGCTCGTTGCCGTTGATCGTCTCGGTGGGGATGACCATCTGCAGCTTCACACTCGCCGAGAGGCTCGGGACGAGGGCCAGGCGCCAGGCCCGCTCCGGGTGCGGCACGCCCAGGGACTCGATGTAGCGGAGGATGGCGGCCTCGTTCTTGGACTCGTAGGTCCACAGCTGCACGCGCTCCCTCGTGCTCTTGCTCTTGCTCTTCCGGCCGACCCGGCGCGTCGTCCAGTAGTACTCTGGGATCCACACTTTGCGAACGGCCTTCACCTTCTCGCCGTCCGCCGCGATGGCACAGTGCCACTGGGGCCCAACGTTCGGCCACCCCCCGGGTTCGTTGACTGTTTACCCACGTGGATCGTTAGCTCCGCGCGCAGGCAAGGAGGGGGGGGGGAGTCAGCAGCGCTCGATCAGATGTGAAATTCAACGTACCCGTGTAGAAGCCCTGTCCTAGCTGATTGTGCTCTTCGGATCTCAAATCGAGCTCTCTATCTCTGAAAGGCCTTTCGTTCTCATTGATGTACTCGGCTTCGGCCTAGGAATCCGCGTGACCGATGTAAGCTTATGTTGTTTGGATGTACATCACGGTGAAACCTACCTACTCTGGAAACGGTTCGATACGCGATGATCTCTCTTCCATGCGCTCGGTTGGAGAGAAAGCTCCAGGCTAGCAAGATCGCGCAGGTAGATTGCGATAGGAGCATCATTTTTGGAGAAAAATACTACTATTCAAGGGTCTATAAAGTCTCTCCCTAGTGGCGAGCTGACCGACGAAAAGGAACAGGTGTACCTAGACTCGCAAAGGAAAAACGACCACAGAGAAAAATAATAACGAAAAAGAGCGTTCGCAAAGGTAGATGAAGGGATTTATTCCCCAGTGAGTGATTGCCTCTCCTCCCTTTCCCCCTTCCCAAAAAGAAAAATATATATCGATCGATATCTCCAATGACCAAATCCATCACGCCAATACTAACTAATATTAGTCCGCGACCGGATTCGAAAATCCTTTCTTCCCTCCTCTTATATCATATATATTCATTTTTATATATATATATATTTAAATATATATCGAATTGTCATCCTAAATATAAGAGTCCGATTTTATGCTCACCGGGCTCGGGTAGCTATTTATAATTTTTGCAAATCTTCCTCTGGCTCGCTACGGTAGGTACCGGTACGTAGGTAGGTACTTACCGGTACTCCTCCGTACGGGCCTGGGTGGGTGTTACAGCGTGAGGGGTGCTTCGGAAGGCGAAATCTCTACTTTGAAAACCCTGGGGTGTCTGGGTGCTATACCGTACCATACATACCCTTCTTACTCGGGGTGTGTGTACCGGTACGGTAACGCTTGCACTGGTGACGTTGTAATTGGTAGTAGTATGTCATGTTCCAAGTACGCACTACGTATATGATTTCATCGACCGAGGTATAGGTACTTAGTAGTTGAAAGAGTGGAAGTCTTATTATTAGGTTTTATTTCCAACGGCTACTACGTAGTACAAGTGGAAGTATAGGATGATGAATTGACGGGATTCCTTCTAGAAGGGGGGGGGAGGGGGAGGGGTTTATGATGTCATGACTGAGTGTATAATGGTTTTTTTTTAGGAGTCGGTGGGGGGAGGGGGGGGGAGAGAGGATCTACTACCGTACTATTATTCCTACGTACTGCATACGGAAGGGCGGGTGGATGAGTAGTACCGGTACCTAGGTAGGACTACGTACATCGCTGCAGAGTGAGCAGTCAGCAGTCAGCAGTCAGCAGTCAGCAGTGGGCACGTAAGAAGGCGGATAATTACTACGTGGTATGTACAGTATGTATGGACTTGGTTAGTCCTCTGCTGACGAGAAAGGTACCAAACATAGCAGTATACGACGTACGTAGTAGTAGTACTTGCCCGCCATGGGTGCCACTCGGGACCGGGCGCAGGATCAATAGAGCAGAGCAAAGCCGGATCTCCTGCTCGCGGGATGACGTCGCTGACGAGAGACGACCGTTGAGATGGGTGCACCGTACCGTACTGCACGTTCTACTTAGTAGTAGGCACGTAGTAGGTCGGTAAGCGATGATCGAGCGGAGCGTCGGCCTCGGCCTCGGTACCGGTGTAGGTTCTCCTACTACGTCGTATATTGAAGTATATACCACATTTATTGATCGACCCGGTACACACCCCTCACCGGCCTTGTTTAGACTTCGTACCTGACAGCATGTCCGACAGCGTAGAAGGAAGTCTACTCGGTCCTGTTTCCATCTTCATTCTTCTTCTTCTTCCTCCTCCTGCTACTTCGGTTTCCCTGGTTTCGGGGCGCTTGCTTACTTCGTTATAGTAACTTGCCGTCCCCGGGCGGCGCAGGATCATTAATCCGTCTCTTACTATTCCCTTTTTCTTATCGTCTGGGTCCAGCGTGTATCAACATTATTACTCGATGTAGTAGTAGTACGTATAGTAGTAGTAGCAAGTTCCCAAAAGTATGGCACGTCTAAGCTGTATTGAAGTCAATCTGAGCCCGACCTCTACGCGAGCGAGCATGAAGGAAAAAAGGAAAAAAGGGAAAAAGGGAAGAGGAGACAGAGGATACTTCGTATATGCAGCCTTCAGCAGCAGGCCAGGAAAAGAAAGAGGGTAAGAGCAAGTAACCCAGACTCCGCGATTCGCCCGAGAGAGATATTCCTACGTAACATCGGACTTCCGTCCCAGGCGATCGATACAAAGTGTAGTAAATCACAACCCTCAAGGGTTTGGAGAGGAGCTTTGATACTATACGTAGTAGTTGCCAAAGTAGTTTTGCAAGGGTTGCAACTGCAAACTGCAAACGAAGAACCTTGAGGCGAGGGGAGGGGCTCGTGAGACGGATGGGATAGGTACCGGTAGTACGTAGTATTTTTCATTACCCGTTATCTACGTACTTGTACAACTCTATTTCGCCTGGGTCGAGGCAAGAACTTCGGGAATCGATCAGGTACCTACTACTACGTACAGTACAGTCGTTACCCAGGCCTAATACTACTAATTACCGCCCGAGGGCCGGGAAACCAGGGGGGATCGAAGTGCAGTCTTAAGCTTTGGAGCCAACCCCCCCGCGGTAATTACCACGTACTC